TAAATTCTGTCTTGAAAAATCTTAAAATTCTGCACAAAGGGACAGATGCAAGCTCTACAGCTTGCTATCAGAAATACCTAACAAAGGTTGGTGCTGCTTTATTTTTGGTACGGGGGAACTGAGGTCTTGTGCTTTGTCTGCAGTCATGCATTAGAGATGAATTCAGACTATGTAAGTTTTAATTCTCAGTTACTCTCCCTGTCACCAGGATCGCTGCCGGTCTGGAATACACTTTGAATTTTCATCTAAAACTTACTAATAAGAGAAAATCAATTTCTAGGAATAAAGTTGATCTTTTAACAGATTTTAACTAAATTGTATCAACATGATGATACAGAGGGAGAGCAAGAGTTTTTCCTCTGAAGAAGTTGCTAGAAAAGATCACTTCAATTTACAGAGWAACTGAGAACTAAAACTTACATAGTCTAAATTCATCTCTAATGCATGACTCCAGATAAAGTACAAGATTGGGACCTCAGTTCCCCTGTACCAAAAATAATGAAGCACCTACCTCTGTCACAGGGGAGAATGAAGACTGGTTATTTAAAAGCTGACAGTAACTTTAATGTCAGCTTAAGTTCCATACCAGGTATGACCTAGGGAAAAGTTTGCATTCCATCCTAAAGCGCTTTCCATCCTAAAGCTCTGTGCATCACAAATACTTATCACTGCTTCAAGAGGCTAATATTTAGTATGATTACCACTGTAAAAAAGAATGCACTAGGCTGATCCAGTGGGGGTTAGACAGCTGCATAAAGGGGATAGGGATGCTTAAAGAAACACTAAATGTACTTCACATTGTACAGRAGCCACCACAGGACACAGAGGTGCAGAATAACGGAGCGAGATGCCAAACATGGCTACAGCTTGGGACAACACATGATGCTACATGCCCTAGAACAAGAGCAGATACAATTCTTAAGGGGGGTCAGGGATATTTATACAGCCAACTGGGGTCACTGCYGTAATTTTTAAGAGTGTTTATTTCACCCTACAACACTCTTGTTGTACAACATGGCTCACGGAGTGTTCTTAATCCCCTCAGAAAGCCCCAGTTCTCAGTCAGATAGGTGCATCTTCATCACATTCCTGCAACTGTCTCCCGAGTCATTTATCCACRTGACAAAATCACGTGTCTCAACTCATTTCTGTAGGKGGAAAAAAAAMCCCCAAACACACCCTCCTTTGTCAAACCCACCAGACTAGGGGGATGTGCAAATAAAGGGTCACCAGTGCCCCAAATCCAGCTGGTACCAGGAGAAACAGGGAGGCAAAAGGCAGCAGGAAGCGCCCGCGAAGCTCTGCGATTTCAGCCGCTTCCCCCAGACCTTCTCAGCCACAAAGACGCCGGTACCAGAGTCAACTGTTCACCTCCCCAGCTCGATTCAATGTGACAGTGACACTTCACAGCACATTGCATCCAATCTCATTTGAAGCTGACAAAGATTGTATCTGTTTTATATCTATTGGTTTATTAATGGGCTACAGCCTCTTAAGCAGATGCATATTCATTAGCTAGCCAGCTGTTAGGCGGTTCCCAGATGTCGAGAGGAACGCTGTCTTGGAATGCTTGCTTTTTTTTTTTTCCTTACCATGAAACAAAATAATTGTAGCTCTGTTAAAGAGCCAGTTAATTACTGAACCAGTACCTTATGGCACATAATTAAAAAAAATAAAAATCTGCAACTTTGTGAGGAGTAAGGACTGTTTTTCTAAAATTCTAACATCAGAGATGAGCTCACATTTTTCTAACATTGTGCAAAACTTACATACACACAGTTAGATTACTCCTGGGAGTGGGTGTAAAGAAGCCCCAGCTATACCAAGGTTTTGGTGAAACCTTTTTTCATTTTCCACCTATTGCAGAATACCCTTACCTCTTTTTCTCCCTCCTTTTTCTGTGGCTGAACAGCAGTCACAGAAGCACATCAAAAATGAAAACAAAACATGTTTGTGCTTTTAAAGGCTGCTGTATCCRAGAGAAGGACATTTCCCCAGCATCCCAAACAGATAAAATTATAACCTGATCATCTAAAATCCTCTAGTTGCCTTAGCAACTTATTTTTTTTCCCCCTTTCATTTTATTTATTTTTTTTTTTCTGAAAGCTCTAAGCAGCAGGTCCTGGGAGCGCTGCTGCACTAACCATCCAGCCCCTGGCACCCCAGGAAGCCCTTCTCCCACTGCAACGCTTCCCCCAAATCCACATTGCCGAGATAAGCATCCACAGTGACTCTACATCTGCGGCAATCCAAGTTTTGTCTCATCCTGCAGCAACAGCCTCCGAGGAGCAGTGAACATGGTGCTGCTTTCTCCCAGACAGAGCTGCCCTACAGTTAGGAATAGGGAAGGGAGAGGGCAGCTGCTGCCCCGTGCAGCCCTGGCTGCAATATCTGGAAGCCTAAAGAGAATCCTTGTTTAGTTGCTACCTCCCTCCCTCGTGACTATTTTTGCTTATTGCCAGCCCCATGTGTCAGTTAATGCCTGCAACTGTACAAGAGCTGATTTTTCTGAGCATTAACTACAAGTTTCCTCCTTTGCCATTCAATTAAATATTTTGTTTAAACCAAAGCAAAATGTGCTAAGACCCTATGCATTTGCCTAAAACAATTCTGAATTGTATCCAGCAATTGCTTTGAAGAAAAATAGAGGGAAAACAACAACCCACCTTGAATCAGAAGCAAGCGAAGGTACCATACAGTGTCATATGCTATAAAAGTAGTTACAGTCATGCACAGATGAATGTGGAGGCAATTTTGTAGAGTGACTCCTGGAGCAAAGGCCTCAGAGAATAAAGATGTCTTTAGATATTTGTTACCCTGTTATAGTTGATATCACCTTGAGTATACAATGCCTGCCTGCATTATGTAAACACTTCATTGATAAATCCCTCCCCCACCTCCCTTAAGCTGTGTCAGACTGTTCTTAGGTGACAGATAGAGTTGAAACAGATGCTGCTATAAATACCCTTGTTTAACTGTTTTGAATATAATTTCTTTTGTAGAACATAGGGGATGCTCTAGTTACCACTGAACCTACACCTGTGCAGGAATTTCTCTGCTGTACACAYCACCAGGCATCATTTTCTAGGAGAGATTCCATAAACATGCAAGGATAGACTGAGCCTTCTTCATGGGTACAGACAATTTACAAAGCATTTCAGAAATCTTATCTGAGCTCTTACTAAGTTTAAAAGCTCCAGGAGGCAAAGGTGACAGTCTGCTTCCTATAATGAGACAAGGAGAGTTAATGCCATCCGATACGGATCTCCCTGCAGCCCCCAAACCTTGAGCACTTCGGCCGCTGTCAGGATACTATGAGCATGCAGGTATTTGCATGAGGTGCAGAGCAAAATTTGTGAAGAGGCCGGGCAAAGCCCAAGGAGGCCACATTTTTCCCGGGAATAGGGGAGGGAGCCTGTGACAGGACCATGCAGCACAYAGCCAAGGTACAGCTGCACTTCAGAGAGGCTTGCAGGTAGAGCTGCACTGGCCTTYGAACACCCTGGACCTGTGATTGCACTAACCAGTGTTTGAGGCTGTAGATTCAATTTGTACTAGGCAGCAGTGAGGGGATAGTTTGCTCCTGCCTCCAATGAACCCTGTTTTCATTTTCACCCTTCCAAGTCATTTCTTTACTACTGAAGCCAACACTTGCAAACCATTCCATCTCCACACTACGTAAGGATAACACAGCTAAGTTGCACCTTTGCCTGTGACCTATGCCTTCCAGTTAGCACATTCTCTACATCTAAACTTGCAAATAAATCCTTCAGACACTTGGATTCCATCATTGCAGGCTAAAGTTAAGTGAGGATGCACCTGATCCATGCTCCAAAGGTTCTTTTTTTTTTTTTTTTTTAATGTTTATTTTGGTTTAAAGAACAACCTTCTGTTCCACCTGCAAATAGATTTGTTTGAGAAGAAATTTCTCYCCAAGCCCTAAACAGCACTTTTCATAATTAAGATATCAGTCCAGGAGAACAATGAGATATGAACATTAATCAGTTCAGGTCTACAATAACTGGTTCTAAGGCACTGCATCCATTATAACTTAGTCAACAACCAGAGAAATGACCAAGTGTTTTTATAGTGGAGCTACTCTAAACCCTAACAAATATATTTCATCATACTTAGTCTCTTGGCTGGAGGCTGTCATGGAAACTCCACTAAAATATCTGAGCAACCTAAACAAAGTTATTTTCAAASTGAAGGCCAACTATTTAACTAGCTAAACTTGAAAGGACATGGTTATGAATAGGCTCACCCTGCACTTGTCCCTGTAGCATCACTAAGCCTGCGACAGACTTGAGCTTTGCTCTTTGCTCTCCTGACTTAGTTTGCCCTGCCACCCTCCTGCCTTCAGAACGGCCCTTCCGCCCTCTCTGCCAGCAAATTTGGACATTTTGAACCAGGTTGAATCTTCCCATCTTCAGAACCAGAGGTTGGTAGCTGATTATTCCAAAGTTTAAAGGTTTCGGAACGAGAACCAGAGCCATCTCTCATACTCAGCCGTTAAAGCCTGCCTTGATTACTTTGATGTAACAACACTTGAAAGCTCCTATTCTTTGAAACTAATTTAAACACATTGAATTGTTGAAAGATTAAAAACCGCAGTCAGCTAATTACACTCACTCTCATCTCTTATTCAGCAAATGAATCACTTTTCATTACCACTTAGCTGAAGTACATGAATTTCTGCCTAATTAGAAATGTTGTAGATGGAGCATTAGCAAGGCTGGAGCGGGTCAGGATATCTTGCCTGCTTCATTTTTAATTCCTAACAGTAGAGCCAGATAGGAAAGGCTTCAGATAAGAAGTCATTAAACAATTTTAAATTATTTATAAAAATTACTTTGCCCAAATTATAATTATTTTTTTTCCCAAATGCTCTCATAAACGTCAAAGGGAATGAAAGGAAAGGCAGCCCAACATTGATTTTAATGAACATTTTAATGTTATGTATAACAGAACATTATGAATACAATGGAAACAAAGTTTTATCAATTTAATAATAAAAAAGAAATCCAACATAAGAAAAGAGAGGCAATAAATTTCATACCTATAGTATAGTGCTTATAGTCTTAGTAATATTCCCAGCTTGTGAATAGAAAGTCTTTGTATTCCAGATTCTAGAATCATGATTCATGTGAACTTAAACACAGAATTACAGAAGGAAAAACAAAAACAAAACCCAAAACCTTAATTCATTCTTTTGTTTTCATTAAATCAGTAAAATCTGTGACTGCTACAGGTTTCCTTTAATAATATATATATATTTTACTCCTCTATTGGATTCCACAGCTGCTAATGCCATATTTACACAAAAGGATCACCAAATGTTGTATAAAAGCTAAGATCCAATGCTGTTGGATTAAGTAGGTTTATAGATTGATATAACTTAACACAATGTAATTCACCTTATTTTTTTTTCCTTGGTAATGATGCAAAAAATAAATATTTTTGCCTTTTGTCTGCTCCTGACCCTGTAAACTCCATAGGGTTATAGTGACCCCTAGGGATATTGGTGTTAAAAAGGACACTAAGTGCCACTGTAAGAAGAACTGGAAAAAAATGCATTTTCTGGCATTTTCTGAAAGGAAACCTTACAGCAGTCTTGGATAAAGCTTCTCCCAGACCTGCACTGGATATGAGTTAGAACAGCAGAGGCATGTAGAGCCCCAGAAATGTGTTGATTCAAATTGCTGAATTTTTACAATAAAAGTTTGGATAATATAGCAGTGTGGCTGGAACATTAGCAAAAGTGTATATATACATTCCAGGTCCCTTTGAATTAGCCATAATCACATAAGTAAGCCATTTTTGGACAAAAATATATATTCTTATAAAAAACTGATCATAGCATTAGAGTGACTTCACTTGTGGATTCAGAGTGGTAGTAAAAGGAATGATCCAATTATGACAAAGCAATCAGGGAGAAGGGCAGAAAAAAAAGAAAGTCAAGCTCCTCAAGAAAAAAAGAAAAGTATAAAATTAGATTTCAACACTTTTACCCAACCCCCATTCCAGTCTTCCATCAAGTTTCAACATTAAAATTGGTTCTTCTACCTAGGAAAGGCTTTTGATGGTCTCAATACAAAYTATTTTGCAAAATCATCTAACATTCCTCAGAAGAACCTTTCATCTCTCCAAAATTTGAATACTTTTTTTTTTWAAACTTTTAGAAAATAGCTTTTGGTTCTTTACGTAGATACTTAAAGTAACTGATAAAGGAAAAAAAGGTATTGATTGGTGGTTTTTTTTTCCATCCCTTCCCAGCTATGTTTGTGCAGCTAAAAATCCTTCATTCAGTCTGCCCATATTTTATTGTTTACAATCTTTATTTGCTAAAATTGGCAAAATTTGCAAAGGCATCTTGCTTGGGTTGTACAGTCCCAGGAGTCATAGCAGAGGTCATAGCGATATTGGGGATTCCTATTGTGCCTGTCAAACCCATTCCGGAAGCCGGCACTCCCATGTTTATTCCCAACATTCCCTGGTTCATCATTGGTGTAGGTCCTATGGAGGCCATCCCCATCGTACCTGTCATCACCCCGGGCATTCCCATGCCCACAGGAAGGGGCCCTCCCATCAACGGGCTTGTCTGGGGTCGAACAGGCATCATATTAGGTTGAGGATTGAGGTTCACGGCTGCAAAGTTTTGAGTCATGACATTCATAGGTTGTTGCATATCTGCAAAAACAAAAGGATGCAACGACTTGAAACAGACTGATTGATGCTCAAGCACTTCAAGTAATTTATATGATAAAGACATGCAGGCCAAAGATGTGACTATTTTGCTCATTTCCACGTTTTCTCTGTTAAGACTCAGAAAATCATTACAAAAAGCTTTTTTCYTTTAAATATAGCAACATGCTACCGTGCACATGGAGAGTTCTAGAGATTAAGAAACCTGAAGAACCTAAGGATGGGAGCAGYGCAAGCTCTACAGCAAAACTCTGGAGTTACACAGCTCCCTAGATTATCAATTTCTACTTACAAAAGGCCACTTTGGACAGAAGYAAGACACTTCTGTGAGCAGCAGAATTATAATTAAATGCACGAAAACAGTAATTAGCAAAACATTCTGTCTCTAGGATAACCTACTAACCCCCTAGGCAGCTCTGTATGCAAGCAAAAGGAAGCATCCACAATCACTTACTTTGTTGCTGCATCATGGTATTAAGCGATGGCTGCTGAGGTTTGGAAGGCTGCATCCCAGGTACTAAATTGTCCAAACTGATATTTACGCTAGGATCTGACCAAGTTGAGGGTAAAGTTTTGCTTGCGTTTTTCTGGACCATCTCTGTGCTTGGGTTATAAAGAGGGTTAGGCTTCGGCATCATCGTGTTCACACTTTGCAGAGGCTAGAAAAGGAGAGGAAAATCTGTTGGGAAACCACATTCYCAAACAATTTGCCAATAGGCTTCATGGCCAAAACAAGTACTTTTGTTTTCATAGAGAYAATAAGAAGTCAGTGAGATGATCTTTAGCCATGAACTTCAGCTTTCAAAGCAGTGCTGCCATCAACTGATACACACCACTAAAATAAGTCAGAACAGCATTTCTTGAACTAGCAAAGGACTCAGGATGCAGGCTGAGAATCACATGCAGTCAGGTGTGGARCTTCAAGAACTGTTCTCTCTAACAGCAAGTTGGAGGGTGCCTCCTCTGAGAGCCAACACGCATAACTGAAGCAAGTTCACCCCTCATCTCCTTCTGCCTGCTAAACTACCCAAAGTTAGAAACACGGCTAACAGCTTTAAAGTTTAAGTGTCAACCACTTTTCCCAACGAAGCAGATCCACTTCAGACTGCTGTGAAGACCATCCCAGAGAAGGCCAGCTAATAAAAAAAGCTTTCTGAGAGCACCTGGCACCTTTTTAGGAGGTTAGATACCATTTCTGGACAACTCTTATGAAAATTGATCAAAACATCTGGTACAGACTCTAAAGAGAAACTGGATCCATTCCGCTCTATGTTGTGAGTAGGAGAATGCCAAAGATTTATCAGGATAATCATTAGCAACTGTACCACAGCAGCAGCTTACCTGTGACCTTGACATGGGTAAACTGATGCCCACAGCATTAGAGCTCATCATAGAGAAATTCATGCTTTGTGAGGAGGTCATGGTTGCCTGGGAGGGGCCCATCAAGTCAAACAGATCAGCAGAATTCGAAGCGGTTGGAGGCTGGGCAGAGGCTGGCTGAGAGCTCCCTAGGAGCTCCACGGCTGGCTGCTGTGAAGGGCCACCAAAGAACTCTCCAGACGAAGCACTGGGACAAGGAGAAGCTTGGTTGAAGGCACTCCAGTCACCAAAGTCTCCATTTCCACTTGTTGCTGTRCCTGAAGGGAAGGGCACAGTGTGAGAGGAGAGATGGTAACAAAGAAAGGTGGAAGACAGGAAGAAGCACAGAACAAATGCCATATTCCATGGACTGAAACAAATGAGAGCTGATCTGTGTCCRTCCAGATTAACATCTGCAGGTAGAACCTCCATCTGGACATCATTCCCTCTCATGAATATTCCAACAATTTTAACAAGGTAGCAAAGGAAATATGCAACACCCATGCACAGACAAAAAAAGACTGTTTGATAACATGTCACCTGTAGATGTAAGACAAGTAGGGACAGGTTTATTTAGTCAAAAGACAACTGAAAGATCACTGAGTACACTGCAGGCTGCAGCCAAAAAACCCACAGTTACAACTGACCAAATTTATGTCCTCCTCCCTCTCATTCAGAGCCCTGATATTTTCAGAAGCAGTTGTCCAAAAAGTAAATTCCATCATAAAACAGTCGTTCAAAATCAATTTGATTATAAATAATCAGTAGCTCCTCATACAAAAGACTGACAAAAATAGAAATAGAACTAGGAAAGTTACCAGGGAGTTATCTGAAATAAGGAATATATTTTTCCCATCCTGTTAGGTGTAAATGTAAAACAACTTTTCCACATCAGATTTCTAACCTAAATCTCTTGAAGTAAAAATTTAATCTTGGATCTAAGAAATCTGTCAACAAATATTCTGTTGGGCTTAGGTCAGCACTAAAACTGGGATTCATTCAGGATTGTGGGGGCAAAGGGTGAAGGTAAAATTGTCACAAAAATCTAAGTAATGGCACCAATTTCAGCACTAATGAAGGGCACTAACATTTATCAGCTTTGGGCTTTACTAGAATATTTGCTTTGATCTCCCTCACAATGAAGGCCTATACGAGAGTATTTCAATTAGTATTACGTATTAAAAATTAAAAACCTACTTTAAATATTCCTGATAGATTAGTAAATGCTGAGTGTGCTGCTTCTGCATTCAGACCCGTGCACTGAGCACACAATAATGGAGTGGGGGTAAAAGGAATGAGGTTTTGCCCCTTTAGTRGAACTTCTAAGATGATTAATCAAGAAGGAAAAGATTTCTAGAGGGGCTTACGCTGTTCAGAAATGATTAATCATTCCACAGCACTCCTTGTCCCTTGCATAATGGCGATTGGAATAGATTAATCACATTAATGCAGATAAAGGATTGTATCAATTTAAGCTGTATTAACACACAAATTATTTGCATAGTAGGCGGCTTTGTGTTTGCAAAGCAACTTAGTTTGGACTAAGGAAGCCCATTAAAAAATAGAACTGTTTTTTCCTGCCAAGCAAATTAAAGGTATATTAACCAGTAAGTGCCCAATACATATTTCCTCTCCTTTTTGCTGTGTTAGGACTAGCAAGCTGGCTAAAAGAAAGCCTGCAACTAACTCACTAATTCTTTTGCTATTGTCTTCTCATGCTAGACCTAACCTTACATCCGTGCAACCAGTTGAGTACAAGTCGAGTGCTGATCCAACAGCCTTAAATGTCATTCCTGTGAATGGCAGAGAGTTGTTCACAGCCAACTGCAATTAAATCTAGATATACTTCCTAGGTTTCTTCTAAGGGGGAAAATAATTTTGTAAACAAACTGTTGTTCGGGTAAGCATCGTCATCCCCCAGATGCATGTACGGAAATTCAAACCTGCTCAGCGAGGTTACACATAAGCCATAATTTACCTATTTCCCTTCTGCCATACCCAGCCTTCCAACAGCAGCCCACACGTCAGTGCAGGCTTGAGAAATACCATGYCTATATTCACCTCATTATACCTCTGACAAAGCCAACAATTTTATCCTTCCCTTGAAACTATAACAATAACTTTTTCTTTTAATCTTAAGAGACACGCAGGATCTGAGGGTGTCTTCAGGGGGCTATCATTTTCCTAGCGCAGGTGGGCTGCTACTTCCCATTGCTCACGATCCTGCCTTTTTGTTCAACTTTTAGAGAGGGGCTGCAAGTAGGTGTAACCAATTATTTTATGATTTGGTTCCATGCTTTCAGCAGAGTTTAATTTGAACTTTTAGCTAAGTCAAAAATTCTATTGCTATTTTTCATCATTCATTCCCCTATGTTCTCTTTATTATATTGTGGATAAGCATAAGTCTATGTAATTTACTGCCCAGCCCATATAATTAAAGTTCTTATGAGAGATTTGAACCCTCTGCGCACGTCTGGAAGCTGTGAACAGCAGCATGAAGCACTTGCAAGCACTTTTCAGTTCAGAGCATTGGCACAACTCTGCAAAACAAGACTACCGTGCACTTCAGGCAAGTCTTTTTTTAAATAGGAGACATCCTTCTATCTGATGGCTTTAGAAACTGCCAGTTGGAATACTAGAAAAAAGACTATTTGTAAGTAAAATAGTTAAGTGCTATTTTAAAGTGTGTTTTAAAATGGGATTTGGGCTATGTTTTATTATACGCTTTTTGYTGAATGGGGGTATATTTTAAACTTSTACAATGTATTGTTATGGCCAAGAAAAAAAACTTCAGGTCCACMTTGTGCTGKGTCCCCAACAGGTCTCTTCCTTACTAAATTTAACACTTGTGAGCCAGTTATATTAAAAAAAGAGTTTTCCCAGAACATGGAAATGACTTTCAGGAAGGGTGCCACGTGGCATCCCTTCTCTCATTCTGCCCCTAAACATCATTTCAACCTGTAAATTATCCTACCTTGTGATGATGGGAAACTTGCTGAAGCAGCAGGTGAGCTAAAATCAGCAAATCCTCCAAACGGGTCAGTTAATCCACCTAGAAACAGAAGGAAGTGAAGTACAAAGAGTTGTGCAAAGATCCATTCCTTTAACTGCATGAGGGGTGTATGAAGAGCTGTCCTGTGCTCGGCAAGATGGATTTATTGATTCTGCTCCATAAGTCTGATCTATTTTTCCTATTCYTCACCACACTTTACATACACATGCCCGAACAACAAACTGGAAAATTCTCAACCACATTGCTGATCTTGCTTCTCCCCGCCCAAGAGAGAAGCCCAAGATATAAGTTGTGTTTACGACCTCTAAAAATAAGTTTAGAGGTCTAAAAAGGTTAACAAAGATTCAACTAGATAACAAAGGCATTAGTTTGGCAGTTTATGAAATTATAACTTTGAAAGTATAATAGATAAAAGCCAATTACCTATTGGAAATATCGTTAATTTATCATGCTGCTTGTCATGAAAAATTAAATGTCTTCTTATAGTTAGTTACGTTAAAGCATGAAAGATTTTGCAATGATCTGGAGCCAGGATTTCAAGGACAGAACTCGCATTCGTGTGACTTACTTTGTTTTTAAATAACTTTTCTTCCTTTCCACAGCAGGAACATTAAGTTTTCCAAGCAGACGTTTTTATACTAGCAAATAAATTATTAACTTCTGAATACAGCACAGTAACATTTTTTTCATTTTAAAAAATACAGCCACGCTACAAGAACCCTCGGCAAGAATTATATACTGGAAAACCAATTTTTCAAACCCAAAACATAGTTGACAGCAATCAGCCAATCATTCCCACTGCTGCTTTCAGGTAGCTATTCCACTGACCCGACAAAGCCAAAAAGTTGAGTTTAGTTGTTTGTCCTCAAAGATTTAACCTCCAAACAGGCCTCCCCTCCCTCTTCGAAGATGCTGCAGCAGTTCAATTATTTTGCTTTTAGTGTTATGCGTACATTATATAGGTTACATCACAGCTGCTTAGCCTGCAGTGCTTAGGAACTAGCCAGGTGGGACTGGAACATCTGTGCTGCACTCAAACACCACCAGGGACGGCTTCCAACATCTGGTGCCATTTCTGAATTGTCTTATCGCTGCAAGACATTCTGCCCCATCTGCTGCTCTCAACTGGGTTAATTAAACCAGAACCATCTCCTTTTTAATAAATGGCTAGCAGTAATAAAAGGAACCATTCACTTTCTAATACATGTGTACTTGTATTTCTTTTTAATGTTATTTTACTGTAGACAGTGCCAGCAAGGCGACTGCTCTTCCAAAGGGAAATGGCCTTTTCTTGCTGTGTGTGTAGCATATCATATAAAACACGAGAGAAGGGAAGGCAAGGACAGTTTCAGGGTTTTCAGGAATATATCACTACTGTAGCTTTTACCACCTTTTCAAAAGGGAAGGCATTTTACACAAAACAAATTTCTTCATCACAGTTTCTGACATGATCTTAAAAGTACCTTTATGTAAGTTGACACAGAAGCTTTATATTAAGTACAACCTAAGAATGAAGAGGGTAGGATGAGCCAGGGAAATACTAAGCCCAAAGCTATGTTGATTATTTTCACTATCCACCGCAATTAACATTTTCACACCATCTTTTTTTCATGTGCATCCCGGTTAGAGGGTTCAGAATAGGTTAATGGTTTGGGGTTTTTTTATATGCAGGATGAGCAACATAGATGCTGTGGTCTCCAATTCTATCAGACCATAGCCTCAAAAAGAGAGACAAAAAAAATCAATAGCATGTCTATTATTCCTGGGCTTTTACACAAATAACTAGGGATTTAATTTTGAAACCAGAACCAAGTTCAAACGTAAGATAACTAGTCAACTTTTTTCTCCATCTCTATTTGCCTGTTTTTAAATGAATCACTGAGTCTGAGAAAGGTGGCAGAGCTTAAGCTGAGTGATTATCTAAAGAAAGGCATCATGGAAAGGCATCAGAAAAAAACCAGAACCTAATCTCCAACGCCAACAAAAGCTACTTCCAGAAGGTCTAACCAYGGATTCTGCCTCATCTTGCCAGGATTACTCCTTGCTACCAGTCTTCCCCCTCGCAAACTAACTGCGCTGCTTTACTAAAGMGTAAACCTCCAAAGCCCACCACCTTTCTTCCAAGTCTCTGCACGTGAAAACATACACAGATGAGTAAATGCTGAGTTCCTGGCAGTCACAGCCCTTCCCTGCCAATTTCTYCACAGCTCAGATCAAAGGCTGCACTTGACCCCTTCCCTGCGTCTTGTGTGACACTGGGAGCGTTCCCACAGATTGTGCTGCAAGGAGCACTGGTCGTAACAGATGACCTGCATATGAAGGACAGTGCTAATCTTCTCAACGTGAGCCCTCCTCAAAGGTTCCCATGTGAGATCTGTCACTATAAATGAACCCTTTCCATCTGCCTTCCCAGGTCACCAAAGAGGTTATTTAGCAGGACCAGCTGGTAATGCGCCTCTCCTCAACACCATTTCTAAATGGTGCTTTGCAAAAGAGAGGGAAGGGAAAAATAATAATAATAAAAAGCTTTCTGCAGCAGAGAACCAAACTGATAAGATTCAAATATGCCAAAACATGAAAGCTTAGTTGTCTGAAATATAGGAAAGCCCAATTTGAAGTGAAAGTTCAAATTCACTTCAAAGTTGAATGGATTTAAAATGCAATTTCACATTAAAAGAGTTAAAGGGACAGATTTTATAGCGATCAGGTTGACTTTTGGGCAGCAGTTTTACTTTGGTATTACAGTTGTGATCAACCAAGGGCCAAGATCACATGAGATAAACAAGTCTACCACATAGTTTAGATCAAGGCTTATATGAACATCATCCATTCCATACCTGCTGAGTCCCTTAACTGCACTTTAAAAAATGCTTAAAATTGAATRCATTGCACTTAGAGTTAATTAAAATTAACTGCATTACAAACACTGTTTATGACAGACTGATCAGGTAGTTATTCTTGGCATTGASAGCTTTAATCCTATACAACACTACTACAAAGCTACTACAAAAGATTCTAGGTAGTGATTTTTAAATTTATTTATTCCTCTATTTATGTAGTAGTATTCCTCAGATAAAGTATGTTTATTCTCAGAYGTGGTTCTTCAAAATATGCATAAAGAATGCAAAATCAAAACGGGCTTACCTGTTGAAACTGGCTGACTGGCTCCATCAAACAACAGATCGACCAAGTCTTTAGATGACTGGCTGCTAGAGGGTGCAGAAGCCTGAAGAAACCACACAATTAATCTTCTCTTACCCCCAACCAACTCTTAAAAGAAAAAAGATCTCGTAAGTGCATCCTTTATAGGTTCCTGTCATTTAAACTGCACATCCACTTCAGTACAAAGTTTGTACAAGAAGAATCAAAAGGTAGAACAAAAATTGTGTCATTTGCTCACAGATAAGGCTTCTGCATTTAGGAAAACAGGACCAGAGAGAAATATCTAGGACTTGTACAACTCTTATTACACTGACTAAGGCTAAAAGCAGTAGAAAGAAACAGAAGAAAGTAGTAATAATTCATCTATTCTATCATGAATTACTCTCTTCAAAAAAAAAGAAAGAGGTAAAATTCTAGTAGGACAAAATATTCCGCTTAATCCATTTTTCCTTAAAGCACATGGAATATGCATAGAAGTGTAAAATGATTTATACAAGCAAGCATGGCATAACTTGCTGTGAAAATAATCCAGGCAAACCTGAAATTAAGAGGTATGGAAGAGACAGCTTAAAATTGAGGCAAATTGAAAATGCTATACAGGTAATTCAAAATAACCTGGTTAAAGCGTCAGCTGTATTACTTGCAGCATCTAAGAGCAGAGCCTAAAAGTATATAATTTTAGGTCAGACGTGAAATGACATTTGACATGCAGGTATTCACTTACTAGAGAACAGCACTTAAAAAATTACTTCCTCAATTTTATTTTTTTTGGAAACAGTGTATTTGGCTTTKATGGCAGCCACTGGAACCTGCCTACAGTGCAGATCAAATACTGAACAATCAGTGGCTGAGGTTTTTCTTTCCAAWAACTGAAGAGCTTGACAACTTGGAAACAAGAATGCAGGTTCAGAGAATCCTTCACATATAAGGCTAAGATTGTCACATTTACTAAATGGTAAGTGTGGCAATGCCTTCATTAAAAATGAAAAAACAAAACAAAAACCCATGACATCTTAAAATAATCACAAGGTGCATTCTATAATTAAACATTTCACTCGTTGAAAACCCCACCTTAGTTTTTTTGATAAAATACTTCCCCTGAATGTTGCATAACAACAAAAAATGTATTTCTAATGGGAACCTGCTTCAGAAGATTGATTCTAAAGTCAAGCTTTGGTGCTCTCCTCTTGCCTTACCTTTCCTGCGGGCTGTGCAGTGTGAGCAGCATTTTGTTCGGGACTTGCTTTATCCCCTGTATAATGCGCTGCTGCTCCCAAGTCAATGGTTTTGGAAGGATTTGCTGTGCGTTTTTGTCTAGTAGTGGTAGTTTCTGTAGCCTGTGTAATGTGGATATGTTTGGTTGTTACAATCTCCTCTTCATCTTTAAACTCTGCTTTGGGAGATTTACCTCTTCTTGACTTTTCCTCATCACTGTCACTAGAAAAACAAAAGCAATAGAAAAATGTCCATTTTAATTATTTCCATTCTTTCATTATTTCTTCTTAATTCAGTGGACCTTTTACATAGGCCATAAGAGTTTTGGTTACTACAGCTCTACACAGTGATGTTTAATAAATAGCAATACTTCTTCCTAGATTTCCTGAAGTTACTATTTCATCCTTCTACATGATCACGCAGTGCTACTAGTCATCTTCCACTAACACATACACAGTTACTCTTTGAATATAGAGTAACAGAAGCATCACCATTTCACAGGAAAACTTCTTGGACACTGCTGAATAATATTTGTTTAACCTGCTAAATTTTATGCTCTTCCATTTTAAGCCTTTTTGTCTCAAACAGGCACGAAGGTCCCTCCATCCCTCAACAGTCGTGCTGGAAATTGGGTAAGATTTCTATGTAACAGTGAAAACTGCTGTAGAGAAAGCTTAAMTACAGTGAAAATTATTTTGAAATAGCAATTCCCTTTTGGGCATACAAAAAACTTCTGTTTTCAACTGTATTTTAATAATGCATTAGAATACGAAACCTGCAAAATTTAAGAAAGGACGTCCCTTTGTCAGTGGGACTGTGACAGTAACTGCAATATACTCTGGAGGGTACCTTTGTTCTGTTAACAATAGGGGCCTTTTTGGAATAYGCTGTATGTGTCATTTATTGCATATTATCTACTCACCACCAGGGATGGCTCAATTCATTAACATAAGAGATGCCCAACGCCCGCCTTTGTTAAAAAAGAAAATGAAAGAAACAGGAGGAGCAGAGCTACTGGCCAACCTTGTGGCTACCAGAACTTAACGTGGACAGGAGGGCTCCAACATCACCATCTACCCTTATATTTCCAAGGCAACTGAAGCCTGACTTGTTAACAGGTTCCTGTTCCAATYTGGAATTTCTGTGCCTCAGTTTCCGCTGCTTATGCACCCAAATAGATGGAAGCCACTAACAACTTTGCTTGTGACATCCAGGTTTTAATGCAAGCCCCCCAGAGAAGACCAATTTGCACATTAGCACAGTGCCTAATCCCACATTCCTGAGGCTTTGGGGACAGAAGTCCTCTTTTAAAGTACCTAAGACCAGGACAATCACAACYAAGACTCAGCCCTCAAAACCCTGCTGCAATGTAGCTGGCTTCRCTAGGGAGCCTGCCTATTCCGTGTGTACCTCTGTGTTGAACRGGTGATTGACAGGCATCAAACTCTGATCAATGGAATTATTGCAATGGAACTGGTAGCAATTAATCTCACTAATGCAAGAATGGATATAAGTGACTAGTGATCTACAGCAAAACGYCTAAAAGCTTTTGAGAAAGGAAATTGAACGTATATGCCAGAATGTAGGACAAACATTACAATTCTCAATTTTCTCTGACAACCTGTACCACTTCAAAACTGTCTCGGGGGAATTTTTTTTAATATTTTTCTTTAATGGTCACATTAAAAGCAATGAAACATTATAGATTAATGTTCCTTCTAAGTATTTACTATGCCCAGAATAGTAAAATTGCAGTGCTTCAGAGTTACACAATGAATGGAAAAACTGAAGTTACAGATAGTATTGTACCAAATGTACTCCACAAGCTCTACAAAGAGTACATGGTTACAACTTCTATAAACCAAGTTATGGCTATGGGCTCTTCCTTTGCTTAGTATTTTTCTTTTTCTTTTTTTAAAAGCAATGCCCCTTAAAGCAACAGTTTGCTGCTGATTTGAAATCTAAAACAACCTGTTGCAAAGCTAATTCTCTACATGAAGGCTGCTTCAAAGCTGCAAGCACACACAGCTACTGGATCAGCCAAATAAGTTTTGCTTCTTTTTTATCCTGTTATCTGCATTAACTTGAATAGCGTAGAAACAAGGATTGACAAGAGTTAAAGATTTTTTATGCAAAAGTAACACTGCACAAGAACATCTGTGTATTTACAAGTAATTTAAAGGGTACAGTCCAACACTCAAGGCTAGAATGTGGCAGCCATTGGTTTATTTGTCTAAAAAGTACAAACCAACAAGTACTAGGGAAGAAAACCAGAGGCTTCCCCTCCCCACTGAGCATCATTTCCTGGTCTTCTCTAATTCCAAGGGGATATATTACTGAAAAAGGACTTCAATTCTTCACAGCAATACAAACATTTTTCTTCTATGAAGAAACGTAGATTAGGTTTCTACAGAGTTAATTGTGCGGACTGCAGTTTTGCTTCTGTTATAAAACAGACATGAGCTGGCTCATCACTTGAGTTATTGCAAGCATTTTTGGGGGGAGAAGGAAGAGCTACCACTTTCATAAATACAGACAGAAACCCAAAAGTTAGGCCAAGCTTTTCTGGTGTATGTATCAGAAAGAGACTGTCATCTGAACTGTCACCCCTTCTAAAAATGTGCAAATTGGATTTATCCCATTTTAACACTTCAAAACTTTTATTGGCTTTGCAGTGCAAAAGAAATAATGATAAATCTATCATTACAGATACACACAAGCAGATTTGCAAGCTCAGTGAGCATCACCATTCAGTCACTTTTCCTAGGCAGACATTACTGTAACACAAAATATCTTGGCATACTAACAGAATGCAAATAAAGTAGGAAGTGTTTTGGAGACATGGTACGTAACAGCACAAAGCAATGTACCATTGTTAAATTGGAATTGTTTACTTCTGATCCTTTCTCTTTGTAGTCTATTGATAGTAAGTTCTAAGAGGGAACCCTGATGTGTGCAGAGTACCAGATTTATGTTTTATTAATGGTCTAGCAAGGCCACACTGCTGCCTTCTCAGAAATGCTACTGTTAGAAAATCTTTTTTTGGGTGGTGGATGGGGAGAGTATGTGTACACATATATGCATATGTATATGCATCTATATAGGGAAGTTCTTTATATAAAGAAGTGTGGATATATTTGAAAATAGTATAGGAAGAAATATACTAATCAAATCTCAGTGAAAATTTGAATTTTAAGCTGCTTCTCAAAAGGAAATTTCAATATATTTGGGCTTTCTCTCTCCAGCAACTTCAGATTCTAAACATGGATTTGATCTCCAGATAATAAAATTCAATACACCTGTTGAAAGTGCACTTAAACATCTTTCTGCAGGCAAAGTAGTGCAAATTTTATTCCTTACTGAAAAAAATAGCCAGATGTGAAATATGACAGGTTTGTTCAGAGGTTCAATTCAAACTGATACCATTTGCTTCATATCGAAACAGGTGAGCTCAGCGAAGCAGCAGCACTACAAGCACTTGTGCCAATGCTCTGAAGCAGTTTTCTATCCCCTTCATTGGCACTCCAGCAGTTACAGTAACTGCAGCATGAAATGGGAGCCTCAAGTACCCTGGCACAAGACAGACCACTGAAATGCTGAGACCAGCACCAGCTTAGAAAATCCCAGCCAAATTCCCTGCTTTGCCAGCAGCCATCCAAGCAAGGAGCTGTCATGGAAGGCAGCCAACAGCAGTTAAGTCAGAGCGACATTATTCCCTAAGGCTGATAAAAAGCTGCATAAGAAGTCCAGAAAACAGATACGGACCCTAAAAATATTTTCATATATAGAAAGAGAAGGTCAGGGCAACTAGCAAAGAGCAGCGTCCAAGAGTTTTATGGCAATAGTTTTACAGAATAAATTCATGTTAAAATAGCTCTAGTACCTGCACCTTTCTGGAGAGTCTTCTCTATCTTTCCTTCGGAACTTGCTGATGGTGTCATCAATTCTGCTTCCGATTTTGTCGCTTAGCTCACCTAGTTTATCACTGAATGGAAAAGCAGTTTTTTTATCCCAGTCTTCATCCCATTTTGATTTGGGCTCAGGATCATATCTTTCACCTGCATAAGGTGGTGAGACAAGAAATAATGATAAGGTGGTGAGACAAGAAATAATGAAGATAGCGGCAAGAAAAAAAAAAGCCTGTAGTCTTTTTAGAAATCATCTCATTCTCCCCTTCCCTACAAATATAAACCTTACAGGTTTTCAAAGCAATCTGAAAGCTCCCACCATGAAGCCACACTATTACAGCAGGGCACAGCATGTAATGCCAATCATTAAGTGGCAGAAGAGTTTTGTTTATGACAACCACACAGCCCTAACGCAGTGCCCACTATAGTGCATCAGCACACCATTGGACACTGCTGGAGAAGCACGAGAGCCACAATCAGCTCCAGCTGTACGAACAACTTATCACAAATGCCACACGCCACTAACCGTCACTTAATGCATGATATGCCATTTTGGGGCAAGCTGTGCGCTAAGGGGTAAATCAAAGACTTGTACCCATCTTGACACTCACCAACATAAAGACATATCAAAATATTGAGACAAGCGTGAAACGCGTGGTAACAGCTTTGTTCTTTTCTGCACTTAGTAACTTTAAGTTTATGTTTAAAGAAGAGGGAGTCCCTGCTCCCACCTAAAGGGCTAGTAAGGAAGATCCCATGTTAAGTGCCAGTTCAGTGTCATATGAACTGCCAGTCTTATATTCAATGAGGAGGGAATAGATTTTTGACTGACTAAAGGAGTCACCAGACATGTTTTTCATTTTAAGCACTCATAACCGAGTCAGAAAAGTTCAGAAATTTATGATGTTAACTGGGACCTCCTCACTAGCAGGTGCAGTTAAAGACAAGCTTTAAGAAAAAGACATCTGCCATAGCAGCATGCATTTTGCAACAAGATTCTACACAAGTAAAGATGAAATAGCAAAGTTCTGGCTAAGCCGATGGATTAGAGTCGTTTTCTAATAAGATGTTTCTATTTAGCCTATCTGAAAGCTCACCCAGATATACTGAAGAACAACAAAAAACAAACAAAAAGCCAAACACTTCTTTAAAGAACTCGTTTAAAACATTTATATAGCTTAAGAAAGGACAAGATTAACAAGCACATAATATCAACCCTGGTAGCTAAAAACTAGTGAAGAAAAAAGCATCTAAAGGAGCATCCTAGGAATTCCTGAACAGTTATCTGTTTATTCCTACATATTTAGCCAATCTGAAAAGCAAAGGCTGTTAAGTCTTCACCAACATAGCTAAATACTCACTGTATCTGAACCCTCCAACACTGTCCGAAGAAACCCCAATGTATTTGTCTTTGTTCTTCTTTGCTTTCTTTCTCTCTTCCCGAAGACGATCATCATCTTGAGCAAATTCAACCATTTCTTTTACCTTCTGGCGTATATTTATACCCTGGTCTTTGCCATTTTCATCTGTGTAGATAAGGCAGGAGAGAGGGGATGGAAGAGGGGGGGGAAAGCGATGAAGAAAAGTCAGGGGCAGTAACAGAGGCAGCAACAACAACATTACAAACTGATTGAAAAGTAATTACAAACACAGCAGTCAAAAAAACCTTACAGCCCATTGCATTTGTTTAAAGGGGACCAGATATTTTGTTTCCACAGAAATTTTCATCCTTACATAAAGGAGACAGTTCTCACTGAACACTGTATTTAGAAACATCTAACAGCCGCTGAAGCACTGAGAATTAAAGGGACTGCAATAGAAGAGATATTCCCCACTTCAGTATTTTAACCCTTCAAATTATAGTGTCTTTCTCTTAGTCTTTTGGTTTCTGCAACTTTAATTGCTAGAATTCATCGTCACTGAAAAACTGAATTTTCTAAAAAAAAAGCTTTCAGTTGGGATGCACTACAAGCTAAATGTGCTGCTTTCCCAGCCTTTTTCACATTCAAAACACACACTGGCCTTGCTGCCTTTGCACTGTAAATATTATTTGGTGGGAGGAAAGAAACCCAGCTTCAAACAGATGTGTGTGTTTTGGAGCTCTAACCTTTTCTTCCCATATGATTAAAGCTATTCCTTTACGGACACCACAGGGGACCAGTCTCTAGTGCATATTTTAATATAAACCCGAACACTCATGTTGTGTTGGTTCTGTTGTTATTAGCCAGTCTTTTCTGCAAGTTCTTGTCTTCACTAATTAATACTCTAGGGTCCCACGTCTTGGATTCTGCACTCTTCACACAACTGGCAACAGTCACATTCTAATTAGACTGGGGAAGCTTCTAAGCTGGTTCAGGTGACTGACAACTCCAACTACTGTTTTAATTTGCTTATAAGATTTTTCTATTGCTCACCTACAAAGTGGTAATTTTCCAGGGATCGCAAATCATAAATGTGTTCTCTGGCACTTGTAACAACACGCTCTGATCCATTCCTTATGAGGTAAGCTAGGAGCAGCAAAGACTATAAAAATACAAAGCACCTTATGATTGCATGAACAAAAGCTCTCTTTTTTTTTCCTCAAGTGCAATAGAAAAGCAAATCTCCCCCCTCCCCACCGCCTGCCAAATTAGTAAATAAGGTTTTTCCCCTTTTAACTAAGTGTTTATTATATGGGTTACCTAGGAAGGAAAAAAAGGACACACAATATTCCCTCCCTCCTTTTTCCTTTATAGAAAATCAGAAATGCATTTGTTAAGTCATAATTTGATATTACCATATCACAAGCAGTTACCTTTGGCAACTACTGTTAAAAAATAGCTGTAGAAATTTACAGAAAGTTAACCCCGTAAAAAGAATTATTTCCTTTTGCCTTTTTTGTTCATAATTCTTCAGTACTCTTCTACTGAAAAACAACTCCTATGGAAATACATAAAACCTTCTGCAGGATGCAATGGATGTACTAAACTGCAAATCAAAACTTTTTTTTTAAGTCTTAAAAATTACAATTGAAGTACTCTAACCTTAGTAATTTCTCCAAAACTCACTCCTTTCCAAGTAGATACCCTGATCAGCTAAGAAATACCATTGTATCGCAACCTATTCAAACCTGATATGCAATTCCAAGCAGTCTTTATAACATTAAGTAGTATGTGCGATAACATTAAATATTAATTTGCATTGTACATCAGGGAAAACAATTACTATGAATACAAAACATCAAGCACCTGTGAAAAGCACAAACCTTGCCTTAGAATTAATTCTGTCTGGTTACAAACCCAGCATCAAGAAAAACAATACAACCTAGCCCATGTAATACACCAATTCTAAAAAATGAGGTTATATTTGCATTATTCAGTGAACACTTAACGCTACTGAAGTGCTGCATGATAATCTTAAGCAAAAAGTTTCTGTACCAAGCTAATTAGCCAAAGCCAAGAAAAATGCAAATGAATTTCAGTTCTTTTTTCCAAAGTGCAAGGAGGATATAAATTAAAAGCCTCATATGATATGAATGGACTGAATTTTCCTGACAGTAAAGAAGCCTGCTATTTTTAAGAGAATTATAAAGTATCAAAAAAATAGAAAAAACAAGATTAGTTTCCATCTTATTTCAGTTATTTGTAAATTCCTTAAAAACATATTCCTGATAGCACAATAATTTATCACATCTCTTTCTTCCGGCGCTGTAACAACTCCTTTGGGTAGGTTCAAAATGTGAACCTTATTCCAATACTTGAATATCAGCAAAATAATTGCTCTATTATGTTCATTAAATAGCATCTTAGAAAGATTCCTAAAATCAGAAATTGTTTCCCACATGCAGCTTTTGTAAGAAAATTTTGACTTCAATAAGGGAATTGAGCAGGTAGTCAAGAAAAATAACTCTAGACATTAGTGGAGTAAAGTGACATAGGATTATCTGAACAAGACACTACATCAAAATGTTTTACTAACATCAAGCAAACACCAAGTCCTTAGTGGACCAAAGTCTTCAAAACATCCAGTTCATATAAATACACACCTTATAAACTCTCCGCCAGTTTTTTTTATTGTCTTTCAACATTCTAGTCCAAAGCATGTTCATCAGTTCTGGAAACTGTTCGTACATAAACGTAGCCCTAAAGAATTAAACAAAAGGAATAAAGAATTTATATTCGCAGTGCTTTGCTGTAACAGCTTGTTAAGATTCATGGTTGACAGTAGATGGCAGGCTTGATCTATGTCCATTCAAGTTTGATAGAATTTAAGTGAAAAGCTATCAGCATTTCTTACTCATACAGACAAAACCCACATACCAGTGGTACAAAAAAGTAATTCCACAAACCTGGGGCAGTTAAACAACCTTCACTAGTTTATAAAGAATGTGTTTAGCACAAGCAGTCTAAATTACCAGAGCAACCAAGTACAACTTCCAAACCCATTTTAAACCAAGTGCAAAGAATTTGATCTGTTTTGCTCCCTTTAGATAGCTACAGGAAAAAGCAATATACAAATAAAGTCTCCAAAAAAGCCAGATACACTAGAAGCTTCTCATACTACTTATGTTAAAAAAGATTCCAAGATACTGACTACAGTTTTGCTTGACAGTTTTTAACAGTTATAGAATTACGTATAAAAATGTACAGCAGCTTTTCAGCATTCCCAGCCAGCATGCAGCCAAGTTATTTAGCAGCAAGTTCTGCATTCCTGTATGAGGTGCCCCTTTCTTTCACTGGCCAGTCAAATTATCACTTACTTGGCAATCTCTCCCATGAGTTGCCCTGAAGGTCCCCACGGATCATCATTGGTTGCTTCTCGAACCTTAGACTCGATTTCTGAATAATTCATAACCACATTGGTGCTGCAAAGGAAAAAAAATTAACAGACACAAAGATTAGCATCAAAACTGAGAAACACATGAAAACTTAATAATGACACTGGTGGGTACCTTAATGAGATACCTCTACAGGGTGGCAGAGAAAACATGTTTAGTGCAGAAGTTACCCTGAGGACATTATACTACACATTTAAGTTACCTTTAAGAAGGCGTTAGTATTTTATTAGTCTTCAAGAAAACAGATGAGAAACTAGGGATTTGAGTTGAATTAAGTCCCATTAAAAAAAAAAAAAAAAAAAAAACAGAACAAAAAACACTTTTGGTGAAATTAAAGCCAAAAGTGAACCACTAGATTCAAAGCTGGTAGCTTTCCTGATAAGATCCAGTTTGCTCGCAGGTCTGTTTGTTGAACAGCTATTTACAAGAAACTTAACTCAGCAACAGAAATAAGGAATTTCTTTTGAATCAGGAGTGCTGCAACAAAAAATGAAAAGTATCAGTACCAAACAGGTGTTTGCAAAATGATGCATTCAGATGAGATTCACTAGAAAGTTTGTTTCCCAGCTTGAACTTAATTAAGGGAAAACAGAAAAGGAAGAAAAGCTACAGAACTCTGTGCATGCTGATTAAAGCAATGCAAATTGGAGTTCAAGGACCTTCTACCAGAGTTCATAGAAAAACATAACTTGGAAAGAGAAAGCATGATTTTTCAGCATCAGATATTAAAAGAGTCAAAATGTGATTTTTTTTTCCACGAATCTCTCCTGAATTGTTAACATTCAACAAGAAGCCTAGCAGCCCTCTGTCTCACTAAAAACATCCAGAAGTATTTGATGACAAGATGTCTTTCCCTAAGAATCCAGGTGGGAGAGATGGCCCAGTGCATTTGTCTGCGTTTCCATTCATACACAGAACGTTAGAAAAACGGATCTTGACTTATGGAGCAACCTGTCATCACAAAAATGGATTTCGATTTCACATGTTTTGCACAGTGAAAGAGCTCACTGTTGTAAAGAAACATCAATAAACAGAAACACACTTGCCTGTTTTTCCTCTACATTCTTTGCAGTAAAGCATTTACAAATTACTAGTTTACACCTGTGCTATCAAAAGATACTTGATTTTTCTCAAGTACATCATACAACTGGTTTTAGGAGCTAAAACATCAACATTGTTGTAAAATGACTGTGGCCCATTTGTAAACCATCCTCTGAAGTCGAAGTGACCAAGATGTAAAGGAGATACCACAGTGAGAAGGGTTTCAGCACTTAAAATCCTCATCTGAATCTGAGAGGTCTAGAAATACTTCAAAACGCTTTATAGTTATCCTCCTTCAAAAAAAAAGAAGGAATTGGAAGAAAAGTTTTCAAATGATAGCTTTAATAGACATAAATACAATGAACACCTTGGAAAGGGACATATTAAACAGCAAAAACACAAGAAAGAGGTCCCCTTGAGTCTGAAAAGGAGCACAGATATGATTGCTGAAGTAGAGCAGAATTCCTGGACTTGCTCTTGGATTCTCAGCGGAGAATTTCTGCTGTCAGATTTGGAAGCATGATTTGCATGATTCCTAATCAACTTTGGGTACAAAGGGTGTAAGATACGTATCTAAAAAAGTTTAATCAGCAAGTTAACATAACCTATTTATAAAACAAAAGCACGAAGGAGCACAGCAGTAGGTATGAGCGACAGTAATTAAGGTTTCATGAATTTATTTACACTAAATGAACTTCCAACTTCTGTTTCTGACATTTTCTTTGCTATGAATACAGATATAAACTTGACTTCCCGTATGCAGGGAACTTGGAAAAAAAGCAAGGGGCTTCGGCAGCGCTGCAGCTTTCAGCACACTGGCTCCCTTGTCCAAAGGGAAGGGAAGCCAGCAAGCTAAATGGAAAGGCTCTGTTTGTTTTTATAACCACTCCCTAAGCTCTTGTTTGAAAGGAGGAGGGGGGGGGAGTAGATATAAAATGAAGCATTTCCTTCGTTTCTTAAGTAAAAACATTTAAGAATGGAAATTAAAAAAAAAAAGGTGCAAATTCACTGCAAAAATACCAACATTTAGTATGGAGGAACTCAAAGTGCATGGTTAAAACACCATGAGGGCTGAGAAAGGGAAATGCAAAGGAAACAAGGGAAATTAAGTAATGTGCCACTTACACTCCCCCGCTTCTCCCCCAAAAAGACACAGTTAAACCCCACTAAGTAGGAAAACATGTTGTATTTTTAAAACCATCCTGCAGTGAAGTTATTGTTCTCAACAGCTACGAGAAAGCTCTTTATAAAAGCCAAGAGGAGATCTAATGGCAGCAAGCTTTCCAAAACAAAGTATCTTTAAGCCGCATTTAATTCAGCAACAAATGTAAACTTCAAGAAAAAGAAAAACTTGTATAGTTTGGCACCATTCCAGGTCACTTAAAAATAGCCATTTCTAAAAAGGTGGAAATATAGTTTTATTCTTCCTTTCCCATGTTTTCTATGGCCCTCATTCCGTGCCCTACCCATGATTCCTGCGACCTTTGCAGCAAAAAAATAATTTACGTCCAGATGTGAAGGAAAAAGTGACTAGCTGGATTGCCAAGACTTCCTGTGATTGATATAAATTTAATATCCGAGGACACTTTCAGACACCAGGGGGGGCTCTCTGATTAGTTTATACTGGGCAGCTTCCAGGGAATCGTGCTGGATTTCATGCACTCGGTCGGCTTTGCAAACAAACAGCTATACAATAGTTAAGACTGGTGGAAGGGATTCTAGCAGTCAGTCTTTAAAAACAACTATTAATGAGACTAGTTTTGGGTTTATCCCAAATTGTGAACTTCCAACCCATAAAATGGAAATCTTTCAGCAAAGATCTGCAGGAACTGATGACAAAGAAGTCACAAATACACAAGTAGTGCATTTTGAAAGTTATGCCCCAAATAAAGGCACATACCCCCAAAATATATGGCTTCATATTAACATTAAGCTGTCACGTTCCCTTCTGTTTGAGATGCATTTAACAGTCTATTTAAAATCACAGACTATATGCCCACCACCACTTTAACCAATTTTCTTATTCCTGATTAATACTTTATAAAGTTATCTCTGTATTGTTTCAGTTATTCTATACATACTTTAAGCATTTAATATATTACATAAATTATGAGATCAATGTAACTACATTGCTTCAAGTAGCAGATTCCAACTGGAAGCCGGTTTCTTACACAGTTGTGCCTGGATTTGTTATCCCACATCAGTCACTGCTTGTTACACATTAGAAAAACCTGGATCTCTCGCTATTTTATCTCTGGAAGCAGGAATACTTTGGAACAGAACAGGGAAACACAAGGCTCTGAACACAGCCAGTAAGGACAGTGAAAAAAGCCCCAGGAATGGGGACAAACCCAGGTCTTGAAGTCACCACCAGAGAATCTATTTTCTCAGCTCATCTCCACCCTAAAGTTTTCCCCAGATCTCCAAATTAACTGCCAAACAGACAACAAAGCTGTCTCATAGCCATGACTTATATATAGCCTTAGCAAACCTGCTAAAGAGGGTGCAGAACAATTTTTTTGTGCTTATTAACTTGATTTGACATTCTGGGTAGCAGCTCAAATGCAACGCACAGCATTGGTAGAAGCAGACAGCCCGGTGCCCGTGGTTTTCACAAAGCAGCTTCATGTGGGTAGGTTCCTCTGGCTCATGGTCCCCAGCATCTCTTATATTATTCAGCTTTTTCCAGGGTCACTGCATTTTACTCTTTCACCACCCTGTCAATGCATTCAATGTGTGAAATCACAACGTGGAGCTCACAACATCACAACACAGGCTGGATTTCAGAAACATTGTTATTTTGAAGGTAGCATTGCTAAGATGAGTGCAACCAGGGAGCTGATACCTCAGAATTTTAGATCCCTGAACAAACTGAACAATGAGCATGAAATGCTCCAGGAGTAACAGAATCTTAAACCTGCTGAAAAGGTTAAATAGCATTCGCATAAAACTTGCGGTAAAAACAAGAGTTTTTGCTTTACTGCATTTCTCAAACAACATGTATGTTACTTTGCAGGCTCTGCTTCTACATAAACAATGATAGATGTATCCATGCTAAATCCTGGTAAATTACTACTACTAATTGATTTCTATATAGGTAAGAAATCTCATTGTTGTGAGAAAAAAGGTATTACATATTAAATGTAATGAAAGCGTAATAAATAAATACATCTATTCACTCAGAATGCAGCTTACTTTAATATTAAGGAATCAGAAAGCCTAACAGCTCTTAGCCAGTTTCTGCAGAAACTTAAAAGCCTTGAATATGCCCTGGGGCAAGAGTCAGACCACTCCATTAAAAGCACCATTAGGATTAGAGTTGCTATTGATGTGGGTGGTGTCACCGAGGACACAAGTAATATTCTGTACATTAGATCCACAGAAGATTTGTGAAATGCCACATCTAATCTTGGGAAAACCAAAATAAACAGAAGTCACAAAGAGGGTCCATTACAGCAGTTTCTTTAGGGTAATGATAAAGGTATTGGTTTGGACAGAGAAAGCCTAATTAGAAACACTTCTCAAAGCTCTGGGAAGCCGCCCACTGTGCTGAGAGACCGAGCAGCAGGAACAAGAAACCTGGTTACACAGTTAAATTTTTCAATGTATATTTCAAACCAATTACGATATCATGTATACATGGGACTTCTACACGCATAATATTATGCCTCTAACTATTACTCCAAGGACATCACTGGATTATGCACCTTCTGTTTTGCTTTTTTTTAATTTTACAACTGGGAACACTAAAATACCAGAAGCCGAGTTGAGAAACTTTCTACCTTTTACTACCATTAACAGTTTGCAACGAGAGATCATTCTGCAAATATCTGTTTAAAGACTAAAAGCAGAAGAAAAATACTCAAGCCTTGCCCACATGCATGCCTTTTATACATATATCTTGACTACTAATGCTCTTCAAATAGAAACCCACAGTAATTCTTTTCCAAACAAAAAACTTGTGCTCTGTCTCTTGGAGGGGAAGC